GGAGGGGTGGGGTGGGGGGGTTTCCCCTCTTTCCAGTGGGGCCCTCTCCGTTTTCCTCTATCTGGCTCTTTTCCCTTCCTAGTCCCTATGGAGAGATGTGCATTCCTAGATATAGCTTTTCAAAGCAAAAATTCACACCTATGTGCTGGCCACTTGCTGCTGGAAAGAGACCAGGCATTTGAAATGAACAGATCCCACTGCGCCTCTGGCAGCTGCCAACCCTGGTGGCCTGTGACTGAGGTGCCACAGAATCAGAGCCTGCTGGCCCCCACCAGGTCACCATGGCTGGACCTCTCTGGACACAGTGGGCTGTGACGTTGTCAGGGGCCCTCCCTCCAGGTCTCATCCACCTTGGGTGTCCCACAGCACATCCATGTGCTCGCTGGCCCCGAGAGGACGTATTTTTCCTCCAGAGGAGACTGTAGTGGAACAAGTCTCAAAGCGAGGAGATCACAGAAAGTCCCAGCCAGCAGGGGTGAGATGAACTGAGAGCAAATCCAGCCAAAGCTACTTGGCAGTTTCCCTGTTAGTGTCTATTAATTCAAAAACATGATGGTCCTGTCAACTTTTTTTTTTTTTTTTTTTTGAAATGGGAACTCACTCTGTCACCCGCACTGGAGTGCAGTGGTGCCACCATAGCTCACTGCGGCCTCAATTTACTGGACTCAAGTGATCCTCCCATCTCAGCCTCTCTGGTAGCTGGGACTACTGGCTGATTTTTGTTTTATTTTGTAGAGAAGGGGTTTTTGTTATATTGTATTGCCCAGGCCTCTATTAACCTTTTTTTTCAAATAAAATTATCTTTATTGCCAGAACTTAATTGACAGTGTATACCTGTGTAATGACTGCAAGGCACGGAACTGTTTAGGACTTATTCTGTAGTTCCTGGAAACAAGGTCTTGCATTTAATAACAACAACAACAAAACAAATGAGAAGTAATATGTACTGCTTTATACTAGAATTGTTTGAAACACTGTTAAGTGATTTAGTGTAGTTAATGTTAGGCTTGTGTCCTAGAAGTTCAAGTTCTTTCTTCAGAGTAATAGAGAATCAAGAAACATTTGAATATGTGCCAACTCTCATTGCTGAGTCTCCAACAGAATTGCTTTCTTGCATCATGCCCAAAGGGAACTATCAACTCTTAATAATGTCTTTGCCTGGCCTTGAGAGCTTTTGTTGGTTTGACTTTTTGCTACCTATTTCAAGCCTTTGTTGCTAAGTTTTAAAACTGGGGGTAAAGGCTCAGCTCCCTGGTGTACCTCTGTGATGCTCAGCAGTCCCAACCCTACTTTGAAAAGGTAGAAGTGGAAGGAGTCTCTGAAAGAGGCTTCAGAGGACTAGGAAGGCAGTCTGGCCAAGGTCAAGGGCCCTGTCCCTATATCTGTGACTCCCTCACTGCACCTGGAGTCCTTTGCTTGAGATGCATCTTCCTGAGCAGACACTACTCTCTGCAGGGTGCTTCCTACTCCCATCCCATCTGCCCCTTCTTTCCCCACCATACCATATTCCTGGCACCTAACTAAGATCCAGCTGTGGTGGGTGCTCAGTATGCATCGGTCAGTGCCAGGCGTCTCCAGGCTGCCTGTGCCTGACCACCTGAGGCGGAAGTGGAATATCCCTGTTTGGGATGTAAAGTGCCTAGCCTAGGTATGTAGAGACCAGCCTGTCTTTGTTTCCCTGCAGAGCCCTCTCAGGGTGCTCTGGGTACTTGCTGGTGATTAGGAGGTTCACATTGATAAGAAGCACAGGACGGTATTTTGGTTTCCAGCAAGATGTGAAAAGACAACTTGAGCCAATAATAACTCATGGCAGTGCTCCCAGTCTTCCTAGTGGGTATGAATGAGGGGGTCTATCTGGTGTGGATCTAGGGCTTCTGTCAAGTTAATAAAATGATCCAGGGCAGGTTTCTACAAAGTAGAAACCAGAAAGTTATGATTGCCGAGCCAGCTAGAGGTAAAGGTTTCCTCCAGCTCATGTGCTGGGGTGGGGAGTGGGGGAGGGTGGAGGAGGAAGGAGGGGACTGGCGAGGGGGTGAGGAAGAGGGATGTGTTCAGGGAAGACTCATGGGGCAGAAGTGCCAATAAGTAATAGCAGGTACAATTTGTTTTTGAGGTTGGTAAGATAACTCTCATTTTACTGACAAGATAACAGAGGCTCAGAAACGTTAAGTAGCTATCCAAGGCTATAGAGCTGCTGAGCGGAGGAGCTAAGCCTTGGACCTAAGGGATGCTGGGCTTCCAAAGCTGAGCACCCAAGACCCTCCTCGAGACAGTCTTGGTGGTCCTCTCAGACATGGCGCTGGGCACTTGTTCCCCGAGGCATGTCTTCCCAGCAGACAGGGCTCCGGACCGTTCCTCCTCCGAATGGGAACACAAGGAAGTTGGGGCTGAGTCTCTCGTTTATGAGTGGAAAGCCTGGGTGCAGACCTGATTCAGAGAGCTGCCCAGGCCCCGCTCTTACCCCTAGGGATTTCATGTGTCTAACAGGCACAGTCACCCGCTGCCATGGCTTGAGGCAGTGAGGGCATGCTGGGCAAGTGCCAGTCACAGCTGCTTTGACCTCAGGGGCAGAGGGAGCCAGCATTCCTGAGGGCCCATTATAGCCCCATGGCACTTTGCCCGCATAACATCACCGAGTCTCCCAGAACCTTTCTGGTGGTTGTCACCCCACCATACAGGCTCGGAGTGGGAGGAAACATGCCTGGGCCACATGGTGGGGAACCTGGCCCCTCAACCCCAGAAGGTGGGCGCTGTCCCCACTGCCTCTGAACCTGCTGCACAAAATCAATGGCCTGAATACTAGAAGTGGTAGTTGCTTACCAGAGTGCTGTCCTGGGATGTGTTCTGGTACCTCTAGTGACAGTGAGCTGCAGTATGTGCTCCCCCCAGCCTCTTCTAGGATGGTGTTTTCTAGAACGAAGAAGACGTGGCACTCTGCCACTGTCTGCGAAAGTCATCACCGTGCTCTGAGAATCTGAGTACAAAACAGGGGCTGGCATTGTCTGGGTGTCAGGGATGGGGGTGGGGTTGGAGAGTGGAGGATGTGCAAGCAGAGAAGACAGGGTCATTGCTCCCGAGGAGAGTTCCATCCACAAGGGACATCAAGTTGACAGACACCTGGCCAGGGCCCTCTCTGGGCTGGGCCTGCACAAGGCACTTTCCTGGTGACTGCAGGCCAAATGCTGAGGGGTGGTGTCTTAGTCTGCTCAGGCAGCTATAACAAACTACTGTAGACTGGGTGGTTTCTAAACAACAAATTTATTACTCACAGGTCTGGAGGCTGGAAATCCAAGATGAAGGTGCTGGCAGATTCAGTGCTTAGAGAGGGTCCATTTTCTGGCTCAGACATGGCACCTTCTTACTGTGTTATCACATGATAGAAATGATAGAAGAGGCGGGGCATCTCTCTCTGGCGGCTTTTAATAAGGGCACTGATTCCATTCCTGAGGGTGATGGCTCCACCCTCATGATCCAGTCACATCCCAAAGACCCCTTCAGATACCCACCCCTTGGGGGTTAGGATTTCAACATAGGAATTTG